GGCTGGCGGACTCCAAACCAGCATTACCAGCACTAAAACTGAATAGCTGGCACTGCAGTACGATGCTCTTACCGCGTATCCGATTTATAATATTGTTGTTGTTCACTTCCTCTTTGCCGTTGTCATCCCCACTATCCTCTTTCTCAAATTTGTTACCAAAAGTCAACTAGCCATTCAATGCGCTAAGGACGTCAATTTGCAAGCTTACCAAATTCATTACAGTTTTATTCACTTATCAAGTAAAAGATCAACAACAGAGGAAGCAGTATAGCAGCTATAGCGGGCTCACGTTGTTTGTATTTGCTGATCCACAGATACAGACACATTACATAACATAGATACACACAAACTGACGTTAAAATATGTATTTTTCTTTGTTGTCCTGTCTCTAACGAAACCCTAGTGGTAACAAAGCAAAATTCATAAGCAGAGGTCTATCACAGATTTACTAGCAAATTTTTTTTTGCTGTTTAGTTTCTGTACCTTTTTTTTTTTTCACCACTGAAGTTTATTACTTGTTAGGATTGTTGACTCGGAAGGTTCACAATAATAACTTATGCAACAAAAATACAACAGCAAAATACAGGGTAATTGAAAATGGTGGCGAATCTGCGTGACTACGACTGGCATTACAGCGATCGCCAAGACACGAGCAAACACGTACCATTTGAGATGAGCCATCATAACGCAACAGTTCTGTTACCGCTACGTCTTTGCAAATATCGTATCTGTAAAAAAACACACATATACGTCAAACACTGAAAAATAAATAAAAAAGAAAGCAGCAAAAATGAAAGAGAAAAAAGGAAAAGGTATTATTACCGACAAACATCAATATTAGTAATTTTTCTTGCTGCTTTTTTTTGAAACACTCAGTTCGTAACATTCTTCCCCTCTCTCTCTTTCTCCTCCCTTTCATGTCCTTCTTTTCTGGCTCTTCAAATTTCTTTTATTTTTTATTTTACACATTTGCATGTTTTAAAAACAATAAGCTGTTTACGTTGGTCATACCAGAGGTAAAGTAAAGGACTGTGAGTAAAAAAGAAGTGAAATTTTGATAGGTAGAAAGAGGTAAGAAAAAAAGGTCAACGAAAAAATTTGAGGCAAGACTGAGAGGGTGGGAGACAAAGGAAGATGCAGAATGAAAACAGTAGAAAGATAAAAACAGAGGAATGGAAAAAAAGGAAGAACAGAAGGTAACACTGTTCATCGGCCTTTATCTTCATCGTCACCGTCACCATTACGGCTATCATCATCACCATACATTTTGCTGAATGATTTACAAAAGTATCTGTAGTGTTTTCCGTGCTCTTCTCCTACTTCGTTAATTGAATTTAAAGCAGTGGGGAAAAACGAGGAAAAAAGAATGAACAAAGTAAATGATGAAGTATGAAAACCCAAAGTTTTCATTCTTTCTTTTTTTTTTTTAATTTGTGTGTTGAATTTAAAAAACTTTACTTATGAGTACGCAAACTCAGCAGTTTATTTAAATTGGCGAGGTAAGAGAGGTAAACATATTTTACAAACGTAAAACTAATAGGAGAACTGAAAGAAAAATGTCAAACGGAAGAAAAAGAATACAAAGGAAGTATTTGAATTGACAGAGGCACAGTTGCATTTTTATGACCTTAATTTTGATTTTTTGTTTGCAATTTTTGAAAATTGGTTATTTTACACTGCCAATCAGCTTTAAGCGCTGAACAGTGTTTTTTTTTTTACCAAATTTGTTTATTTGGCAACTTTTTTTGTCTTTTTTCTTTTGGTTTTTTCGAACTGGCTGCCGCTGTAGAGCTGTTGTAGTTGTTGTTGTTCAGAGAGCAAAAAACTGTTATACATGAAGGTGTTTGGAGATGACTTCTGATAATAGATTAACTATTAATTTAGCAAGCTGATAAAGATGGGTTGCTAGCAATAATGAAGTTGGCTTTTTTGGTGATGTTTATGGTGCTGGTGTTACCAGTGGTGAAAGAAAATGAGGTAGATGATAATAAACAAATCTGAACAATATTCAGCAACTCATTAGTGCAACTGACAGCATTGTTATCCAAGTAATCGGAAAAGTAACTGTAAAAGATTTTTGTTGGTGTTTTGTAATTTTTTTGGTACTACTTCGCAAATTTTCGTA